ACTATTTCTTACTGCCAGCACATAAATGTATACACTTAACATGACTACAGACTAAAAAAATAAGAATAAAAATGTTCAGACAACACTATCAAAGCAAAATCAGATGTCCCAGGCTAAAGGTATTGTGTTGTTAACAGAAATTCAAAGCAGACTATTGGTCTGCAGCTAAAGCATAGTTTAGGATGTTTTCCCTTTCAAAATAAAATAAAATAAACACTGCAATTTGGAGAGCCTATAACAATCAGTAAGAAATCTCTAGTTTTCACCTCTGACGATTTTAAACTGATCTAGCCAAACAAAAAAGTGGATTAGAGATCTGTAAGAGTACAGGATTTACAAAACAATATTTACAGAGAACTGTTCACTCTCGTTGACTGAGAGTTTCTTCCACGCATAGATTTTTTTAAAATATCATTTTCTCCCCAAATTGGGCCTGCATTAAAATATTTCGAAAGCAGATGACCCCAGTTTACCTGCGAAATACTGGCATCTGACGAGGACTGAGCAACTTGAACCTGATTTTCCATATGTGATTTTGCTTCAACTACTGCACTATTTGATGCTCGTCTTGCTGGAATCACTGGAAGGACGAGTTTTACAACATTTATAACTTAGCTGCATGTATTTTGAATTAGTTTCATACTCATGCAAGAACAGGTCTATCACTTGGCAGAAGACAGGCAGGTAGGTATTCCGCTAAGAGAAAACAGAAGCTTCTACCTGAAAGGTGTATATTCTGCACTTCATTTACATTTCAATGACAAGTTGTCACCAATAAACACAATTGAACATAACTGAACAGCACAAAAATACACGTTAACAGAAATTTTTGTTTAACACAGAACTAGACCCTTAGTGATTCTTTCTGAAGATGGCAGTGAAGAACACCCAAATTACAATTTCTTCACAAATAAGTTATTTGCCTATTTATACATAAAATGTTAACATGCAAACATAAAAATTACCAGAGGGAAACATCTCCTCCTGAGATTGTTTTAGCCTCCTTCGCTCTCTTGCTGACAAGGGACGTTCCTTCAAAAGAAGTTAATTTTCATGATGGCTTTTGTTATCAAACCACCCATAAACAAAATAATCTTTTTCAAATGACAGGGAATAGAGAGCTGTTAAGAGCAGACCTTCTGATCAGCTAACAACTGCTTTACTGCTACAAAAAGGTCTCAGTCAATGAGACTAACATGCACTCTAGAAAAGGAGCTTCTGACCTCTGTGGTTCAGCAAGGCAGCTCCGCGTGCCGCAGTGACAAGGTGCTTGACAGGGCTGCCGTTAGGTCAGAAGCCGCTATACATTTCTTTACTCACTGTGCGTACACCCTGAGAACAATCCAACCAGAAGGAACAAGAGACACAAACAAGCTGGCACAGCATTCAGCACTAACCTTTGAAACGGCAACTTGACTGGTTTGGGTGCTATTTACAGATTCAGAGGCTTCAGCACCATGCTGCTCTGCACGCCTCCGTCCTGTCTTTGTGTTCACAGCAGACAGAAGAGGTAAAGGCCGAGGAGCAACTGTTCTGAACTTGAACGAGAAGTGAGGAAGAATTTATACCTTTTTTTTATTGAATGATAAAGCACTCTGAAATCCAGAAGACAATCTTGCACAGTAAGGCTGGATGCCAGACATTTTGGATCCTACTGTAACCTCTTCACATCTCCCAACTTCCTCCCTCCCTCTCCGCACTTCCAGCTGCATCCACTTCCTTTCTCTCCATCCCTAAATCTTGCCCCCACCTCCTCCCAGACTATTTTTCAGGCAATGCCTTCGCAACATCTGTCCCCACCCTCAAACAGTCAAACCCAAGAGAAACACAGGGTATCAATCACCAAGCACCCTCTTCTCTGTCCTCTTCTCTTGTATAGTTGGTGCTTTTCCCCAGAGAAATCTCCCTGCTCAGTGTGGAATCATTGACAAGAGCCCTATCTGAGGTGCACACCAAGACTTTCTCCCTAGAGTTTGTACTCATAAGCTCGAGGCAGCCATTACTCATATCTGTTGTAAAACACTAGGAATCTACTGCCCACTACAAGCAGCCTTACCCACAGCAGTCAGCAGAAGTACTGCTATGCATTTTGTAGCTACAAACTGTGAGAAGTCCTGGTGGAAACTGCTAGAAAAGCCTGCAGCGCAGCAAAGCCCACGCACGGTGCACTGTGTTTCCTTGCACACATCTGGCGCGCGCACCTCACACCTCTGAGGGTTACTGAGATTTTCAAAGATTTACACAGACGGCTTCTAAAAGACACCTTGCGTGTTCTACACTTTGTTACCAATGAAGTGGTACAGACACACAAGAAACAAGAACAGCATTAAAAACCCACCCTTTTCAAAAAAAAGTATGTTTAAACAGTAAATAATCTTAAAGAGAATTTTTTTTTCCTGCACCTTCTCTGAACAGACTTCAGCTAGCTCTCTTTTCTTCTGCCGCCGCTGCCGTGAAAGAGAGGGTTCACTGACAGAACTATGAGGCTGCAAGTGGGAGGTAGTTCTTCCTTGAGCATCTCCCACAGCTCCATGACAGATGTCATCCTAATAAGTAAAAGTATTTTTTAAAAAAGGTAGGCATGCCATTTCCAGATTTACACATACACACTTTTAAAAAAAATCAACACATGCCACTCTACTGTTTGGACTGCATCCCCCTTAACATTATCACAGTTACAATCACAATAAACTCTCGCTTGACAGACAGAAAAAAAACTTGCTGTATCAGCATTTTTAAGCTAGTAAACCTTCTAAGAAGGAAACTTACTTGAATTACAACAGGAACGAAGGGTGCTAGCAGCTTCTCAGTAGAATCCAAGCTCTACAACAGATGATTTCTCATTAGAAAAGGGTGTACAAAAATCTCACTGCAGACCAAAATGCAATGAAAAGGCAATCACTACCTATTAGCCCCCATCCAGATCAGGATCAACTTGAGATTAGCCAGGCCTATTTAGAACACAGAATAAAGAAGTTACAAAACTGCTCTTACCATCTCCCTTCTCAGCTAGAAAACAGACTCTCCATCATCTAGCTGCAAGCCTAAAACTACTTCACCATGTTGCCTTTGCAAATCTAAAGCCAAGGCTCCTAACTGCTTAACCATCGCAATAGTTGCATCAGCAGGATCCTACTTTGACACGAGAACATGCGCAGCAGCTCACTAAACTTGAAGAGCGGGCAATTAATTAAATATATTTCAAAGTCTATTTCAAGTAAGCATAAATGCGTTACCAGGTCAGTTTGCTTTTGGTCTCCTGATACAGGCTGCAGGAGTTTCACAGTGTCACCATGTTCTTCTACAGCATCAACAGAAGACTGCTTAGACTCAACACTCTCAGCTTTAACAGCCTGCTTTGCTCTTTGCTGCCGTCCATCTTCCTTAATTGGTGGGATACAGGATGTTATTTTAGAATTCCTTGGAACATTTAAATCTTTTGCTTTACTTTTCTCTGGATTGTGCTCACTGCCACACTTCTCACTTCCGTACATCATCCTTTCAGACGGAGAGATATCAATATTCACTTCGCTAATGGTAGCTAAGGAATTTCCCAGGTTGTTCAAATCATTATTGCTTGGTTTTGTTTCCAACTCAACAGCTGGTTTCTCTAAGGGACAAAATTTGGTGCCTTTATATTTGATGACGCGATCTTCCTCATTCTGCAATTAAAAGGAAAATAAACATTGAATTACCCTTTGGGTATTGTGCACATATGAAAGAATACTCTAAGCACCTACAGAAAATCAGTAGCGTACCAGAGTACATAAACTTCAATGAAATTACAATCAACTACAGAGTAAGAGCCTCAAAAGAAGCTGCAGCCCACATTTTCAAAGTGGTACAGACTGTGTTTCCAAATGACCTATTTCAGGCGTGAGTTTGCACACGTGCTGGACACCTGCTTTCCACCAGGACCATGAAAGAAAAGTTTTACTCCCTTGGCTCTTCCATAAGGGAGGAGCCAACACGTACCAACAGCTTTAAGTTGTACTACCCCATGCACATTCAGGATTTTAGCACAGAGATTAAACCCAGAATAGCAGGCTCCTTACAGGAAAGAGCCACATGCACAAGATTAACCATTATTTTGGGGTTAGAACAGATCTTTTGTAATCAATTTTTGGATGTGACTACAATTAGGTTTTTTCCGGTCAAAAACACGTATTTATAAATCATTACCACTTGTCATCAAACATTTGAAAAAGGAGTTGACCTCAAATAATCCATGAGTCATTAACATAGTGAACCACAAACAAAAAACTAAATGTTGTTTAGTTAACATCTAACAGTTAAGACACTGCAATTAGTTTTACTGATCCACAGCTGTCTCTTTACTTCCACTCTTGCCTAAAAACTATTCCTTTCTTAATATGAATTTCATACATCGCTATTGCATTCTTATGAATGCTCAAGGCACTCCTTATAAAACCCATTTTTTTCTCTAGAAAAAGCAAGTGGGGTTTTTGGGGGGTTGGGTTTTAGTTTTGTTTTTCTTCAAGAAAACATATACATATCTTACAACTTTGTATTTCCTGGCTTGCTCAGAGGAGTGGTTCTGGTGTGTAACATTCATGCTATGAGACTCGTTCTTTGCTGAGACCACCGAACAAGGATCTTTAGGTTTAGAATTTACTGTTTTCTGATAATTCCTGGCTGCTTTCCTGTAAAGAAAATAAAAGCTGCTCATTCAGTCACCATCAACAAGCCCATAATATATTTCTTTAGATTATTGTAATTAAAAATTCCACCTCACTAAATAGCTTACATACTGAGAGTATAAGATAATGGGCTCTTTCAATGGACTGTGCACAACATACTCATTTTCATCTCTATACAAGGGGCTTAAAAACAGCATTCAGACTCTGCCAGCAACATACGCTGTTCTGCAGAGCACCCAGATCGGTTCTATCTGGAAGCCGTAAAATAATTGACTAAATAAATGTGACAAAGAAAAATAATTAAATCAGTGAATATCAAAAGTAACTTGGTATTACAACTCTCAGCTGATAAATGGCCTCAAAGAATCATATGGGAAGGTGTATAACTCTGATCACTTGCTTGAAAATATTGGTGCTGCTTTTTTTCTTTTTTCAAATGCAACTGCAGAACAAAAACTAGCCTCCATTTTAATCCCCTCCTAGTTCTCAAAGAATCTGAAGAAACTCGTATGCTTATACACTTTATATAACTGCAGGTAACAGAAATAATTTTATCCTGCTAAAACAACCGGGAAGAGTTGTAAACCAAAGATGGAAATGGGAATATTTTGCACAGAATCACTTGAACGAAAATGTCTTACGCCTTGGTGGCTTCCAAAAACAAAGAAATTTGGTGCTTGATATATGGCTGTCGTAGGATGCTTTTCACGGTAGGTCTTTCCTCAGGTTTTTTACTGAGCATAGTTCGTATTATTTCTACCAACTGTGGGCTGTAATCCTTTGGCATGGGTGGCAACTGTAAAAAGAAAGGGAAGTCTGACATAATTTAACATATCTGTCAATAGGGGCTATCATTTATGCACGACAGTTAACCTCGAGCTACGTACTTCACATAAAAAACTCCCATTGTTCACATGCTGGAAGTTACCCAAGTGCTTAACACTGAACAGAATATAGAAATTCTAAGTGTTCTGTCTAAGAACTGTTCATCATTTATTGATAACAGCAGTTAAAGTTAGGCAAATGGGCTTAAAATTTATATAAAATAAATCCATGTTAACTTCATCATTATACCAAAGCAAGACATGTACTGAAAGAAACTAGTCTCTCCTAACAGGAAAATGGCATCACAGGAACAGCAATCTATTTTTTTTGTGCAATGTTTAAACTAGAAGCAAATTAAGAAAGTAAATGCATCTCATAACTTTGAAAGTTGGTCACTACACCAGTTACACAAAAGGGTAACAAGAAACTCTAGGAATACCTATGAATTAGTAACTTCCTTGGGTGTGATTTTTACATCATATAGAACCATGACACAGCACTCTTGCAACATATATGACGATACAATAACTCTATCCAACATTTCTGATTGGAAAATATAATCTCAAATTCTAGACAGAAAATTCAAGCACCGATGAAACAAAAAATCGTAAAATTTTACCTTTCCTTCAATAATTCGATAAACCAAAGAGTTCATGTCTTTAGCATTAAAGGCATGTTTCAGTGTAGCCATTTCATAAACGCAGCAGCCTAGTGCCCAAACATCAGACTGAAAAAAAGGAAAAAAAGAAGTTTTGGGAACTTTTTATTAATTCTAGAAGTTTTATCTCCAGACTTAGACACTTGCTTTCAGAGAGGCTTTTAGTGACAGGAAGTGCTAATTAAGACTAATTCCATTGCCAGATTTTCACTTCAGTCTCACTCGTATTTTTAACTTTCATCAACTGAATTATTTTCTTCCAAATATCACCAGATTTTTCTGAAGTGTAGGAAGTTGCTGTTTGTAGGAGGTTTAGTTTGTTTTCTTTTTAAGTACAAAATTGGTTCTAACTCGTAAATGAAAGCCTTTTGATTCACTGGAAGAACACTTTCCGTTCAGCTCCTAGGAGGTTTAGTTTGTTTTCTTTTTAAGTACAAAATTGGTTCTAACTCGTAAATGAAAGCCTTTTGATTGTTCACTGGAAGAACACTTTCCATTCAGCTCCTGCCCATCGCAGACACTCACACTCACTGCGTGTGTGGTTTGCAGCAGGAGGTGACCATGTTTACAGGAGAACATTTGCTTTATTTTGTTTTATTTTAAATTCACAGAATCACAAGAGTTAGACACAAACTCACAGTGACACTGCTTATTTCTTTACTTAAAATTTCTTTAAAATGCTGCTACTTTGACTAATATGGATTTCTGAGTAAAAAGCTTCCTGTGGGTTACATAATAAACTTAGAAAATGCAGCTAGCTAACACAGACTCATATTTTTGTTTACAGTGGCACTCTATGACAGGTAGGGGCAGCCCACTGAACACTTTGGCTCTGACAACTTACCACTCTCACTTACTGCAGCCAACACCTGCAAATCCTCCCTATTTTGTTTTTCATTTGGTCCTTGTGGACATTACAAAGAATCAGAAGCAACGAGAAATTTAAAACATTAGGTCGGATTTTCATCTTCTCAGATAGCAAAACAAGTTGCCTAACAGAACAGAAACAGTATTTGCATGAATATACTCTACCTTGTAGTTGTAGGGTTTGTTAGAAAAGAGCTCCGGGCTCATGTAGTACGGCGTGCCTATGAGCGTGCTGGCCATGTCGTACTGGTTGTCCAGCACTTTGGCTATTCCCAGGTCACCCACTTTGATTATATTTGTCCGTGTCAGAAAAACGTTTTGAGTTTTAAGATCTCTGTGCAGAATGTGCCTTTCATGTAAATACTGGAGGCAAAAGCAAACAAACATATAAAGAGTTAAGCAATTCCTAATAGGTTCTTCTACACTGAGAAGTAAAAACACATTACGGGAGTCAAAGGGGGAAAACATAAACGCAGAACGTAAATACATCACCATCAAAGTCAGGAATGGCCCTGCCAAAGCTGGTGTTAGCAAATTAATATTAACAATGACTGATATAGGCACAGACCCAAAAGTTGGCCCAGCTTTAGCAAAATCTCCCTGTGTAGCTCTAACAACCAGCAGAGAAGTAAAAATAAAGTTAAGACTCAGGCTTAAACTCACTTTATGCTGCCTCTATTTCTGCACAATCAGTTCTTACCCCAAAATATAAAATTTCAATGAAAAATACAACGTGAGCTTTATGTTAACAGGGAACAAAACTAGTCTTGTAATAAAGAACAATGGCAATACCATAGCCTTGCACATGTCTGATCACAAGATGCAAGTTTAAGATAGAATTTTCTGTCCAATTTCCTACTTCCTAGTGTTAATATTCCTCTCTGGTCTCTTTTACCATAACAATTATCTTTAAAGTTTGATAATCTCCAATTACTAAATTTCAAGAGTGAGATAATATTTAATAGAAATTATGAATTAGTGGTCTATATTTACTATTAAAAACACATCAGAACGCAAAACCACTGAACGCAAACGTTTCTGAAATAACACTGAAATAAAAATGCTTCTGAAATTATCCATTCTAAAACTCACTATTTTGTAAATTTAGCCTTCAAACCAGAGAAGCATTTCAGACTACAACTGCAAACATCCTGCCACTCTCTACTGTGATACAGAAGTGTAGCCATAACACACAACAGCAATTTCTTATCTGAAATAATGAATTTGACTGCAATGGCCTGTGAACATTTTTAATGTTTTTAATAACCACTGCATTCAGCCGCTAACCCAATCAAACCGGGATGTGAAGCCTGCAGCCTGTGGAATTTTTAAATGCAGGAAGAGCCAAATTAAATTTCGACCTGTGAAGTCGATCAGGCTACAGCTTACCTGCAGCGCCATGGCGATCTGAACAAACCACTCCACCACCTGGTTCTCAGGCAGCAGCTTGCCCTTCTGCTCCTTGAGTTTGTGATAGAGGTCTCCTCCCTCGCAGAAGCCCATGACAATATAGAGGAGGCCATCCTCCCCCTGCCAGGACTCTCTGTAGGTGACGATGTTGGGGTGTTTCAGCTGGGACAACAGCTGCGCCTCTTGTTCTGCCGCCTTCCTCTCACGGTTGGAAGCATTTTTAAGGTTTAACTTTTTGATGACATACTGGAAAAGAAATTGCAAGGTGTATCCCCAGAGATGAAAGTAGCCGTGCAGAAGCCCTAGGGAATTCCCCAAATCTGAAGGGCATACAGTACTTGAAATCTCCACACCTTATTCTCTATGAAGACATCCATTTGTCTAGCAATTATACATAACCTCTACCATTACATCGTAAAAATGGAAGGGGTGCGGCTATTCTATTCATCTACCAGCACAGGAATTTTGTGGTGGTTTGCTTTCTTTTGATTAATGTTCACATTTGTCTTTTTTTTCCCCCACTCTCATTTTAAATGTGTGTCTATCATTCACCTCTTAAGCCTGAAATACCTGTTTGTGCATCACAGTTACTCTCAAAACAAGCCATTCAAATAGCAATTTAAAAATACAACAGCATTAAAGGAAACTATGCAGTCATATGCAAAAAAAATTACAATGGATGTCCAGGATAAGAGTAGTCTGACTAGACTTATTTTGCTCTTCTCTGATAAAATTCAAACCCAACTTATCTGAAGGAAAAGTGGGCTTTTCCTTTCACTTTTTCAGAAATTAAATCTATGTTCCTTGTAAACATAAAAGAGAGAGAAACTCAAGAAATAACATCTCACAACTTCAACAAACATAGATCGTACATCTGAAGATCAAAAAAAGTTGTTAAAATCTCATTTTCAAGGCTTAGGTTGCAAATTCCCCATTGTCATATTCACAAGAAATACCTAATAGAGCTGAACTTCCGAACATGCTGCTGAGCTTTTCAGGTCTATTTATCCTTTTCTCCTTAATTCTTGTAATGCATGATGATGCACAGCTCCCAAGAGGAATGCACTACACAACTGGTTTTGTTACATCATCTACGTCCAAAATCAAACAGAAATGCTGCAATCTGATCTACTGGAAGGTGTCTCTGCCCATGGCAGAAGGGCTGGAACTAGATGGCATTCAAGGTCCTTTCCAACCCAAACCATTCTGTGATTCCAAAACTACTGTGTTCTACGTGACAAGCACAGGGAAACCAAAAGCTTTTAGCTTTGTATCAGCATCTGTCTTCAGATGATTCACTACCAAAACACAAAAAGCATACATACAGCCTAACTTCACACCTGGCATTGGTTATATGTAGCTGAATAAGAATGTTATCCTGGCAAGATTCCCATGAAGTCCACTGCGATGCTCTTCCACCTTATTTGTTACTGAATTGTGTACAAATTGGATTTTTCTGTTTCATTTTAAACTTTTGGAACCACTTGATCTTCTAAACAAACAAACCTCAAAGTTCAGTTAATAGCAAATAAAGTTAAAAAACATCATTTCTTTCACAGAACATGTAGCACTATGCCAAAGCCACAACAAAAAAATTCCAATCACCCTGCTATAGAAGAATGATCATAAAAGATGGCAAAAGTTGGCATCAAATACTTAAAATAGCAGTACGGTTGCCAACATTAACAATCAGCAGCATGACAGAGGGGAAATGCAAGGATGTGTATACAGTTCAAAGTCACCTCCATGAGCTGTTTACTCTTTAGAAGGACGAGGTCAGCAGCTCTTTGCGGACACCGGACTATGCACCACCATGACCGGCCTGCCAGGAACAAGTGCTGCCATCGGTGCCACCCACCCACGCTCACAGGGACTGCAGCCTTTCCTGCCTTCACCCAGAAAGGTCACCCCCTCTGATCACCGCCACGCACAAACGCTTCTCACAGAATCACAGAATGTTAGGGACTGGAAGGGACCTCGAAAGATCATCTAGTCCAATCCCCCCCGCCGGAGCAGGAACACCCAGACGATGTTACACAGGAAGGCGTCCAGGCGGGTTTTGAATGTCTGCAGAGAAGGAGACTCCACCACCTCCCTGGGCAGCCTGTGCCAGGGCTCTGTTACCCTCACTGAGAAGAAGTTTCTTCTCAAATTTAGGTGGAACCTCTCGTGTTCCAGTTTAAACCCGTTACCCCTCGTCCTACCATCGGTTGTCACAGAGAAGAGCCTTGCTCCATCCTCGTGACACTCACCCCCTACATATTTATAAACATTAATGAGGTCACCCCTCAGTCTCCTCCAAACTAAAGAGACTCAGCTCCCTCAGCCTTTCCTCATAAGGGAGATGCTCCACTCCCTTAATCATCTTGGTTGCTCTACGCTGGACTCTCTCCAGCAGTTCCTTATCCTTCTTAAACTGAGGGGCCTAGAACTGGACACAATATTCCAGATGTGGTCTCACCAGTGCAGAGTAGAGAGGAAGGAGAACCTCTCGTGACCTACTATCATCTCTACTCAAATCCTGGGCACAAACCACCCAAGGTTTCTGCAGTACTGCTCTGTAGATATTCTCCACTCCCATTTCTTTATCTTGCTGCATTTTCTATTAAATATACCCACTATGGCCACACAAAGTGGCAGTTATTTCCAACAAAAAGGCAAAAACCCCAAACCACAAAGCCCGTCTTCCCCCAGCAGAGTTGATGCCAGCCAAAGCCAACACCAGAAGCTGTTTTCTTCCATCCTTGCTGTCCTTTTTATCCTCACTGCACGCGAATGAATGTCTTTGAGAGACCACACGAGCACCAACAAGGCAAGAGCAGCCTTTTCTGCTGCGCGCTCAGAAAAGCGGCCTGAGCACTTCCCTGTGGCCCAAAGGGCTACCAAAGCTAGGGCTTCCTCCACAAAACAAGGCATTATACTTTTTTTTTTAAAAAAAAAAAGTAAGCAGTTTTATTTAAATAGAGGTGGTGGGGGGGAAAAAACCGAAAGCGAGGATTTTGGAGGTTTGGGTGGGGGAGGAAAAAGAGTCTTCTCCACATATCTAATAAAAGGCTTCACAGACAAGGGAGGAAAACGGGAATAGCTCGACGGGCAAGCCCAGCTCCGGTGGCCGCCGTCGCGCCTCAAGGCCCGGTGGCAACGAGGGCTGGTCCCCACAGGAGGCCGCGGCTCGGCTCCC